AGGCTTACATAAACATTATACATTATCTCTATGGTCAGCGTCATTTACTTTTGTGCCAACAAATGAATTTTATCACCTCCATCATAAAGCAGCATCAGAAAGTATTAATGTACTTCATGTCTCTGCATGTTAAAAAAAAGTTGCCAAATACATAAATGAACACAGGCAAAGCACCTTAATTTGATAATACTATGCAGAAACATTCCACTACCTAAAAATACATGATCCCCAAATGGAGAATATTCTCAACAGAAAAGAATATTTGTAGCTCAGGGTTGAACTGTGGAGTCCTTGGTGGTCTCTGAGCTTGGCTGTTTGCTTGCAGGCATTTCATTACCCAACCAGGTATCATCATCAGTGCAAGTGAGAGTGGGGTTTGCTCCCTATTTATATACAGTAGCTTACCCTGCCAGTCTTGGTGGGGCTGTGGTTTTCTCCATGGCAGTTCCTTGATTAGGGTATTGTTTTCTGCTTGACTGTTTGTCTGGTGTTAATCCATGCTTATCTGGGTGTTGACTGCTGGAGAGGATGTGTTCTGGACTTTTTGTTTCCTTCTTAGCTTTTTAATTGTCTCTTTTGAATGGCGTGTAACAGAGAATATTCCCGGATAATATTCTAAGCAATTAAATAAATGGTTGAAGAATTCAAGAAAGGCCAAGGAATTTCCACTGTACACTGTTACTTATTTAGGATATAATACTTCAACATCATATAGCTTCATCAGCGGCTTCTTCCTCATGGCAATAATCTACACAACATGCAGCCATCTCTGTATAAGTATCTTAATGATATTGTTATAAGTGCTGTAATTAATCCTGGAATTCAGATATTATTTGGTTGCATATTCTGCACAGAAGCTCCCTGGGTGACTCTGAACCCAACCTACCTCACAGAATTATTACTGGGAAAATAGGAAAAGGGAGCACTATGTGTGCCATTTATTGCCTCTGAGTGAAAGGCAGGGTCTCAGTCTAGTAAGTAAATAAATAATATCTGCCCTTCCTTCATCCAAAAAACATTTGTAAGGGATATTACCATCTCTTCTGTAACACTTACATTTTATATTTTATAGGGCATTAAGTGACATATGATCTAAGCCAGCCAGGCAAACATGTCAGAAGTCCAGCAACAAAAACAACAATGCCTAGGCTAGACTCAGTTTCTCAGAGAGGGAATTCAAAAGAAACAGAAAAAATATTGTTCGTGGAAAACAGAATGTCCATGAATTGCTTCAGACCACAAATACATCATGTTCCTTTTTTCATTAAAGCAGCTTGACTTTTTTCAAGCTTCTGCAAGAGCTTGAGAAAAATGTTGCTTTAAAAAGTCAACTTATTTAAAGTTAACAGAGTTCTTAAAGCAACATTGTCTGTTTTTACAGGCTAGTGCAGACCTGCCTCCACATTCAGGCTGTTTGGAGCTCTGCACTCACAAAGGACTGAATCACTTCAGAATCATTTTCAAAGTGCGCACAATCCTACAAAAACACATGTTATGAATACTTACAAACACAGAAATAAGTCTTCCAAATGATATCTAGTAGGATTATGCAGCAAATGATAAGAAAAGTTGTTTTATTAGCTATCCATAAAACGCAAGATTAAAAAGTTTCTATTCCTCATATTCTTCTCTGAAATTACTTGGCCCTGAGATTTACTATCCTATCTCAGTTATTAAGATATAGCGGAGAACAAACTATACCTATAAGAATTGGCAACAGAACAACCCACCTCTAATACATATCCAACAGTCATCCTTTTTATTATGTTTCACAAGCTCTTCTTCAGTAACTTCTAATAACCTTCCTTTTAGACCAGTTAGATCTTTTCCACTTTTGGTTAACCGTATCCAGTCCATAAGACTTCGACCGGATTTCAAAGGTACCTAAAAAGAGAGGAGAGCAAAAAGAACATTAGCAAAGTAAATGAAGGAGACTGAAGTCTTGTTGGACCACAAGTGGCCCATGGGCCGCCAGGGGTGGCCCACTAAGCAGCCTTGTGCAGCCCGCAGACATTTTTTTGAAAAATAATCCACTGCCACTAAATGTCACCATCACAAAAAAGGATCTGTTGCCAGGTTTTCACAGCCACTTCCACCTGAAGGACATGCTGCCAGCTCTAACACTGCTGCCTCTCCACTAGGCACTGAACAGCTGATCAGCAGGCCAATATTCCTTTGTGATCCACGATTATTTTTAAGATGTCACTCTGGCCCTTTCCCTTCTACAAGTTATACAGGCCCACTATATACTAAATACAATTTCTCCTTAGTTTTAATTTGCCACAAGAAAAGCTACACACAATCTCTGCAAAGCTAAACACAATAGCACAGAGCTAAGTTTATGAAGGACATCAAGACTATGGTGAAAAGATGAAGTAGTTATTTATAAAGTGCATATTCCACATCTTCATTTATTTACATAACACAATGTATAGTCTTTTTCCACAGAAACTGGAAATTACTGAATCCAAATAGAGGGAGCACTACATGTGCCACCTTGGGCTCCTGTACAAAAGCTGGGATATAAATCTAATCAATCAGTGAATCAATAAACACACTTACAGCTTTCCAGAAGCTGTTGAACTACAGCATCTAACACAACTAGCCATGGTAGCTGGAGCTACTGTTCAGCTACATATGGAAAATTAATAGCTCTCCATCACTGGGAAAGATAGCGAAGTAACAAATAAGGTGCAATTTAGGTAAATGTGGAAACTGAGGGTTGGTCAAAAAGTGCTGTTTTCAGAATATATAAGGTCACTTACATACAAGTAATTGCCTTAAAAAAGTCCTTTTGGTCTGTTTTTCTCAGTGTATGAACTTCAGTTCCTCTTATATGAAGCAACTGTGAAATTACTACAATGTTCCTGAAGCTCATATCACAGATATTTATTCATCAAACAATTGACACACAAAGCTAAATACTACATCAATTCAACTTTTCGGGGTAAGCAATATTACACAAGGGAGCAGAAACTGAGTAAGAAATAGTAAGATATTAAAGTGTGATCAAAGATATTAAAGGCATGATGTAAAAAACAAAAGGAAACCATTATTTGATCTTGCACTGTTCACTCCATTTTCCCAAAAGGGGCTTCCCGCATTTCCTGATCATCCTGCAAAGTGTGGTCACAAATGTGAGCCTGCTCTATCACAACTGCACCCTGGCTTATGAGCTCCTCCATAAGTCTCTGGGGAATGGAAGCAGCTGACAGATTGGTATAGCTGTCAGTCAAATTACAGAGACCTCATGTGCTCCACTACTCCACTTTCCAGACTTACGTGCAGATTGGATCAATGATTTGGCTTTGCAGTTTCATAATCATAGCAATCAATTAAGTCCACATTAATAAAGAGCATCTTTAAAGCTCATCTTCTCACATACAAAAACCAACTTGATGACACATAATCAGTCATGTTGCTTCTCCACTCACTTCCAAAATCTGTTTTTCATCTTTCCCCATCTCGCTTTAATTTGATCCAAGAATATCAAATCTCAGTCCTAACCATGTGAAATAATTAATTAGAAGCATTTCGGAAAGACAACCAGATATGGTTCTTGTAAATCAGGATTTGCAAAATACAGACTGTGTTCCAAAACAAGTCTAAATACCGGAACTTCCTTCTGTTTTACAAATGACTGATTACGCAATTGGGAATACTGTATACCTCTGCTACCGACAAAACGTAGACATCATTAAGAAGCCAACATTAACTATAAAAATTTCTCTGCTTAATTCGCTAACACGATTTTTCCGTCGGACGATTCCTCCACGACAGGCAGAAATTAAACAGGTGTAACGTCTCCCGCTAGAAATCGCGCCACCTGGTGATTTACGATGCAAGAGCCCTGCTAAGTAACCGAAGAAGCGTCCTTCCTCGCTTCACCTCTACAAGCGCTGCTACGCAAAAGCACCCGACACCCCCAGCCGCTCGTGGGACACAGCAACCCCACCAGCTAGCGGGACTCCAAAACTCCTTCTCAGCCTCGTACCTTGCTGCGTCCCGCCAGGGCCACCCGCTGCTGTGAGGCGGGGGCAGGAAAAGACTGCGAAGGCACGTTCAACATCCTGCCGCTGCAATCAGACGGGAGGCCAACAATCCTCCTCCTCCCTGAACAGAAGCGGAGCCGGAGAGACTCTAAACCGCTTCCGGGTTCGGCCGCGTGAAAGCAGCCCCGGGAGGAGAAACGGGAAGGAGAGAAAGGAGAGTGCGCAGGCGCGTGCCAGGAGCACGCGCGAGCGCTTCTCGGTTGGGCGTGCGCTCGAATCTGGTCGTTTTGATTGACGTGGGGAAGAAGCGTCGGCGGCTGCGGGGACGAGCCCCGCTCGGTTTATTTCACGTTCCCGCCCCTCCTTGTTCCGTCTGCTTTCCTTAAGTGTGCTTCGGGTGGCTTTGAATGGAATAGGAAAATATCTTTACAATAAGATGAAATCATTTGCCCCCCTCCCCCGTCATCTTGAATGTTTTTAGTATTTATGTATAGGATTTGTTTTTACGGTTGATTTTTAATGGATTTATCAATTTTAATTATTTATGGGGTGTTTTTAATTAATTATTTAATTAATTAATTGTTTATGGGTTTTTGATTTTAATTGTGAGCCACCCAGAGTCACCCATTGGGGGAGATGGGCAGCATACAAATTTAATAATAAATAATTTTTTTTAAAATCAAAAACCCATAAACAATTAATTAATTAATTAATTGTTTATGGGTTTTTGATTTTAATTGTGAGCCACCCAGAGTCACCCATTGGGGGAGATGGGCAGCATACAAATTTAATAATAAATAATTTTTTTTAAGCACTGTAACCATATACATTTCAGTCTTTGAGATCTGGGTCCGATTCCTTAATGTAGAGCCTGTCCTGAATATTGGCACGGAAGGAAATCTTAATAAATTCACTAAGGTTTAGAGCAGTGTTTCTCAACCTTGGGCGCTTGAAGATGGATGGACTTCAACTCCCAGAATTCCCCAGCCAGCCATGGGTCCACCCATCTTCAAGCGCCCAAGGTTGAGAAACACTGGTTTAGAGTATAATAGCTGCATGCTCATTTCAAAGCAGCAACAACAGACTATTGAAGTGACGCTGCCAAATACATTTGGTCCATTACTGTCATCCCAGGAAGTAGTAAGCTGAGAAGGATCACTTATTTCTGCTGCAACAGGTCAACGGCAAAAGTCAAGTCTCTATTATACTTCAGTCTTAGCACCGGTATTTGCACTGATGAAAAGCGGCGGGGGGGGTGGCGGCAACTGACACATACATAATGATATACTCGTGCAAATGCTGTGACTTATTTGCATCAGTAATGACACAAGTATGTAATTGTATTTTTGGGTATGCGGCCATTTCAGCATCATGGTTTGCCTTGGATGATAGTAATCTTTGAGAACTCATAAGAAAGACAGTTTGGTGTAATGGTTAAGGTACTAGGAGACTCTGAGTTCTAGCCTGTCATGTATGTATAAAAGTGGGATAAAAATCTAATAATAATTTTATGGGCAAGTCAGTGTAGTTTTCTTGACAACAATATGAAGTATTATTTCATTGCCTTTTTCAAGGATGTTGGTGGTCTCCTATGTGATCTGACCTAACTTAGCATTTGAAGATCAATTAAGAACTACTATGTGCTGCCACCAACCTACCATAAAATTATGTGCATAATATAAAAAGCCTTAGATGTCCTTTAAAGAGGAGACAGATACCTGCTAAACTGGGCAATATCAAACCGGATGCTGCTGTTTTAGAAGAAACTCATGCTTCCACAGAAAAAGGAACCATCTAGAGGATAGGAAACTCATGATCAAGTATATATTAATGAAAATTCAAAATCTGCTAGAGGTGTAGTAATTTTAATTAACACATGCTCAAAAGTTGTGGTAGAACAAGAAATAAGTAACCTGGAAGGATATTTTTTAATATTGGAGTTTAAGTTCCTTAATAAACATACTCCATTTATTAATGATTATGGCCCCACTTAGGCTATTTGGATGATTTTAAGTCTATAGTATGTATTTTTAATAATGAAAATTATGGTCAAAATTAGTAAAGAACCAAGTTCTCAAGAACTTGGAATACCTTATTAACAAATCAATGGTTAAGGGTTTTAAAGAATATGAAGTACAGTGGTACCTCTAGTTACGAACGCCCCTCCTTATGAATTTTTCAAGATGCGACCAGCTCCGGCCCCAAAAATTTACCTCTACTTACGAACCGGATCTGCGGCCATTTTCCCTGCTGCCACGCGGTCGTGGCTTCCAGTGGGCGAGATCGCGGTAGC